AAATCATTCAACTTCAGTGGATTCACATCGGACATTAATACTTTTACGAAAACATTACTTAAAGTCACTGGTAAGAAAAATCGGCGTGTGATCAGTGAAGAACACATAGCTAATTAGCTCCCTATTAAGTGAATTGTACCTACATCAACTCGAAATTAACTCGCTCATCGTGAAACCTCGATAAACATCAAGGAAGTTCCAGACTAGAAAGAAGAGTTTATATTGCTTGTAAATTTGTAAAACTTTTGTATATAAATCATTGTTTGTAGTAACTATTGGTAATAACTGTTATCGTAAATTGTATTATTGTTTATGTATTGAAATACATTTGTATTAAAAAAAAAGAAAACTGTCTGTATAAATCTTGTTGGCAAATATCATAAATTGGAGATATATCGGCATTTATTTAACTACTAAATTTAAATTATCATTTAGCTCGGTTTCTGATTATTCGAAATTGTAATACGTAACACTACCAATCTGGATTACAGCACACAAGGGCTTAATAAAACGCTATTCATAAAGCTTTATGGTCATAAAGCTTTATTAAGATATATAGTTTAAAACATTAAGAAATATAGCGTAGAACCAACAACAACAACAAAAAAAAATCCTGGAGAAATTTTATTCCTTTGACAAAATCCATAATTTAGCAGTGAAAGACTAGAGGGAAGGCAGCTAGTCATCGCTACCAACAGCCAACTCTTTTATCAACAAATAGTGGGATTGACTGTCCTTTATAACGGCCCTACGGCTAAAAGGGCGAGCATGTTTGGTGTGTGGAAGATCCGAACCCGCGGCCCTCAGATTGCGATCAAGCGCCCTAACCATTGGCCATGCCGGGCCCATAAGCCTGCAGACTAACCGCAGAGCCACTAGAGGGCAAATTAAATTGTGGAGGAAGTTATATTTATAAAAAATAAAATGAAAAGCAGAATATAATGGGCTAGCGCAGATAGCTATTGTGTAGCTTTGCACGAAATTCAAAACAAACCAAACTGCAGACTTACAACGCTAAAAACCGGTTATCTACACCTGTAGTGAGCAGAACACAAATAGTCTTTTATGTAGCTACGTGTTTGACAACAACCAAACCAAGCTGTAGTTGTATGTGTGTGTATAATATTGTTCCAAAACTTTCATAGTGCAAGTTTATTCATTTTATACACAAAAAAAAGTGGCTCAGCGTTAAATCTGAATGCATAAAACGCTAAAAATCGGGTTTCGATACCCGTGGTTGGCACAGCACAGGTAGCTCATTGTGTAGCTTTGCACTTAGCAACAAACAAACAGAATTTGTACAAAGCTACAAAAGGGATATATGCACATCACCGCCCCTAATTTTGAACTGATACATAAGAGGGAAAGTCAATACCACCCACCACCAACTCTTAAACTACTGCCTGTCACTCTTATAGTGCACACGTAACTGTAAATTGCAGAGTGCGTTTTCGCGGCAACGAGTTACAAACCATGAATCATCGGATTCACATTCCGGGCACGGTGAACATAAGCCACTTCACGCTTGTCACCTCAGGGTTTATAATATTATCTAGTAAGATTTGGGGATAAACTCTTTTTTCCGAAAGGAGAAATGTGTGACAATACCTTTAAATAATCTAAAAGGAGAAATATATAACAGTGCTTTTAAATAATTTTGCTACACTACATTACGCATGTGAAAACAAGTGACTTTAAATATATATATATATATCTTTCTTCTATTTACCTTGGAATACTGATTACAAAAATAATTACTTTCGTTATGACATTTGATTAACTTTGTCCGACGATATCAAAATTATCTATGATTTACAATAGAGCAATGATCCCCAATTATTTTCCGCACTGGGCCACTTCAGATGATTGCCATGAAGCCAAGAGTCGGGACTAAACTTGTTGGGGATACATAATTCCGCAAATATAACTTACTTTGCAATATCTGGTTATATTGCAGGTCATGAATCAATATTTTGAGGGCCTGTAAGCCTCCCGTTGGAGACCATTACCACAGAGGATAAAACTAATAAGAATGACTGTAAAAATGCACAGTTTAGAGCTATGTTCATGTTTTGGTTTCTGATGAGTAGTGTAATAAATTAAGACAAAAATATATATATATATATATTTATAAGCTAAAACGTCTTTTATTTATATTTTAAGAGATGCGTTGCAGAAAAATGGATCCACAATTGATGCAGCTGTTGCAACTCTTATTTGCATGAGTGTAGTGATTCCTGAAAGTATGGGTCTTGGAGGAGGATTTTTTATGACACTTTATATCAGGTAATTTTAATGCATTTTGAATAAGAATGCAAACAATTTACAAAGTCGAAATACCGTATTGGCCCGACTATAAGGCGATGTTTTTGATTAATAATTAGGCTGTAAAATTCATAGTCGCCTTATAATCGCGGCTGACCACAGGCCCCTTTTCCCTACTCTAGTCTGTCGCATTTCTGGATGTCCAGATAGCATTCCTCTCAGCATGCACACCAGATGTTTGCTCAAGGTCATCGTTAATCCTTGCAACTAATCCACCTGCAGGCTGTTCAGTTATAGTATTGATTTTGCGGACCTAAAAAAGGACGATTTGACATTCAATTTTTTTCTTTCCCATGGTTTCTGAAAATAGGGGTTGCCTTATATTCGAGATCGCTCTATAATCGGGCCAATACGGTTTTTATTTGTTGTTTTTTTTTTGGCGTAACCTAGAAAACCAAATAATGAATTTTTGGTAGTATAGATTTCATGATCGGTGGTAACTTTACAGCAAACTGCACCTTCTGCTCACAACCACCGACCTGAAATACTGATTTTGGTGACGTCACCTTAGTAAACATGAATAGTTTTAAAAAGATAATTTTGAAAATTATTAGAATAGAATTTAAAATCATTCACGTAAATTTTTGTTTTGTTTTAGTTATGAAAAGTTTAATAAGTTTATAGTTTCAATGTACAAGTACCATTTGAAGGTAGAAAAGTCAAAATACTCGAAATAAAAGTAAGTTAGATCGTGATGTGAAATTGTTGGGTTTTCAACTAATTTTTTATTCGATCCAATGATTAGCCGTGAAAATGGTAAACATTTCTTTTCAACAAAAAATAGCTTAAAAGTGAACATAACCCTACTTTGAAATCTAGGCCTAACGGTTGTAATGCTTTAAAAAAGCAAGACTTAAGAGAGTTATTCATAAAAATTATGCCATTATTTGAAAATAAGTTATTCCTAACATATTATTCTAGGAAATTATCAGTTTTGTGGACCTGAGTTTAAGATAAAACTAGTTTAACTGGTGGTATAATAATAATAAACTCATCACTTTAGTTATGAAAACTAAACTATCCGGTTTTCTCCGCAAAACGAACAAGTAACTTTAAGGTAAAAAAGAAGTTAGAAGATGCATTTTGTATTAATTTCATTGAACACATTTTTCAGAGATGAGAAAACAGCAAAAGTACTAGATGCACGTGAAGTGGCGCCACTTAAGGCTTCAAAATACATGTTTAATGGACAGAAAAATTTGTCTCGAGTTGGTAAGTTATGCGATCTTTATCTACGAAGTATGATAACCATTTATCTTTGCATAAGTATGGTTGAAAGAGAACGCTTGATAACATTACTCAAATAGACTTTATTAGTGAAAAATAAACAGGTTAACACACTGAAATGTAGTAGAAGTAGCAAAATGTATAATATAAGACGATTTCTTCATGATTAATACAAATTGCCAGTTCATGTATGTGGCACCCGGGTTGACTCCCCCAAACACCATAGTATATATTTATATAGATCTTTCCAAGATCTTGTTGCTTTATCCAAAATGAATCCATCTGCGTAAACATCTTTTAAACAAATAACTCGTTGATTCCTTGAGGTAGTTCGACATACCCACTTTTAGCACCTCATTTCCAAGTCTACCCTTTTCTCACTTGGTATTCATACATTGTAACAGGTCAGATCATAGCTTTCCTTTAACTGGGCCTTCTCACTTGGTATTCATACATTGTAACAGGTCAGATCATAGCTTTGAAAACCTTTAACTGGGCCTTCTCACTTGGTATTCATACATTGTAACAGGTCAGATCATAGCTTTGAAAACCTTTAACTGGGCCTTCT